GGTGGAGGTACAGGGGGCCGAGGGGCAGGTGGAGGTACAGGGGGCCGAGGGGCAGGTGGAGGTACAGGGGGGCGATGGGAGGTGAGCCGGGGCGGTGGGTGGAGGTAAAGGGGGGCGAGGGGCGGGTGGAGGTACAAGAGCTGAGCAGTGGGTGGAGGGGGCCAAACGGCGGATGGAGGTAGAGAGGGCTGAGCAGTGGGTGGAGTGGGCTGAGGGGCAGGGGGAAGTACAGGGGGCCGAACTGGGGGTGCTGGGGTAAACTAACCCCACCTGCTGTGTTCTAGGCAGCGCATCAAGTCCATGTTCTACCACGCCTACAACAGCTACCTGGACCACGCCTTCCCCTACGACGAGCTGCGGCCCCTCACCTGTGACGGCCAGGACACCTGGGGCAGGTGCGTCCCCCTCCGTCCAGCCCCAAAGGGCTTTTACACACCTTACACAACCAAAAACTATGCACTTCGTAAGATAAAAAACTCTACATTTGCCACATTGTGGGGTAAAAGAATGGAAATATTGCTCACTTGTAGGATAAAACATCCGAAATATTGCACATTTTGGGGTAGAAAACTGTAAGTATTGCACATTGTAGGGTACAAAATTTAAAATAATGCTCATTTTGGGGTAGAAAACTGCAAATATTGCACATAGTAGAGTAAAAAAATGGAAATATTGCTCATTTGTAGAATGAAACATCGGAAATATTGCACATTTTGGGGTAGATTTGTAGGATAAATAATCGTAAACATTGGACATTAAAGATAAAACTCTTTATATATTGTGCATAATAAGATTAAAACCGTAAATATTGCACAATATTGCACCATTGGTGGAATCGGTAGACAAAAATCTGCTACAGACTTCTACTGCCTTTGTTGTTGGAAAAACCAACCTGGTGCTTTGTCTCCTCTGCCTGGCAGTTTCTCGCTGACCCTGATCGACGCCCTGGACACGCTGCTGGTAAAGCTCCATGTTTGTCTGTAGCTCCCCAGAGGTCAAAGGTCACAGCTCACATGTGCTGCTCCTCCCAAGGTGCTGGGGAACCACACCGAGTTCCAGAGGGTGGCGTCCCTCCTGCAGGACGCCGTGGACTTCGACATCGACGTCAACGCCTCCGTGTTCGAGACCAACATCAGAGGTGGGAGCGGGCGGGGGGGCGGGCGGCGGGTGGCCGGTGGGGGGCCCGGTGGCGGCGGGGTTCAGCCCTGTGCCTCTGCGTGCAGTGGTCGGGGGGCTTCTGTCGGCCCACCTGCTGGCAGGGAGGGGCGGCATGGAGCTGGAGCCCGGCTGGCCCTGCTCAGGACCGCTGCTGAGGATGGCCGAGGACGCCGCCAGGAAACTGCTACCCGGTATGGTTAGGGTTCTGGGTTAGGGGTTAGGGTTCGGGTTCAGGGTTAGGGGTCAGGTTCAGGGTTAGGGGTCGGGGGTTAGGGTTCAGGGTCAGGGGTGGGGTTAAGGATCCAGTACAGGACCAGGTTTAGGGTCAGGGTTAGGGGTTAGGGTTCAGGGTTAGGGGTCTGGGTTAGTCGTCGGGTTAGGGGTCAGGGGTGGGGTTAAGGATCCAGTACAGGACCAGGTTTAGGGTCAGGGTTAGGGGTCAGGTTCAGGGTTAGGGGTCGGGTTCAGGGTTAGGGGTCGGGTTTAGGGTTAGGGGTCGGGGGTTAGGGTTCAGGGTAACGGGTCGGGTTCAGGGTTAGGGGTCTGGGTTAGTGGTTGGGTTAGGGTTCAGGGTTAGGGGTCGTGATCAGGGTTAGGGGTCTGGGTTAGCGGTCAGGTTCGGGGTCAGGGGTGGGGTTAAGGATCCGGGACAGGACCAGGTTTAGGGTCAGGGTTAGGGGTCAGGCTTAGGGGTCGGGTTCAGGGTTAGGGGTCGGGTTCAGGGTCAGAATCAGGGTTAGACGTCAGGTTCAGGGTTGGGGTCTGAGTGGGGTTCAAGGTTAGGATCAGAATCTTGGTCAGGGTCGGATTCAGGATCAGTGTTAGGGGTTGGGTTCAGGGTCAAGATCAGGGTTAGAGTTCAGTTTTAAGGGGTCGTGTTCAGGCCCGCTGGCCCTGGGGGGGTCCAGCAGGCCCTTTGGTGTTCTTGCTGGCCCTGCGGGGGTCTAGCGGGGGGGGTGAGGTCCGGCTGTAAGGTTTGGCTGTTCCAGCCTTCCAGACCCCCTCCGGGATGCCCTATGGGACGGTGAACCTGCTGCGGGGGGTCAGCCCCTCGGAGACGCCGGTGACCTGCACCGCGGGCGTGGGGACCTTCATCCTGGAGTTCTCCGCGCTGAGCCGCCTGACCGGGGACCCCGTGTTCGAGGACACCGCCCGCCGGGCGCTCAGCGCCCTCTGGCAGACCCGCTCAGACATCGGCCTGGTGAGTCGCTCCGGGTCTGAGGAGAACCCAGAGAGACAAAGGGGGATCCCTGAGGACCTCCACCAGAAAAGAGCCCCGAACTCCAGGGCTGGTGGTGTGTCCGAGGGGGGGACCTGCCCAGTTCAGCAGGAAGTCTGGACACAACCGGGTCTGATTGGCCAGAACTTTTGACTTGCCACTAACAGGTTCTCCTGGTTCAGAACTGCACGTTCTCCCCGTTCAGATGGAGGTTCTCATGGTTAAGAACTGCAAGTTCTCCTGGTTCAGAGACAGGTTCTCTTGGTTTAGGTGCAGGTTCTCTTGGTTCAGGTGCAGGTTCTCTTGGTTCAGGTGCAGGTTCTTTTGGTTCAAATACAGGTTCTCGAAATTCAGATAAAGGTTCTCTTGGTTCTGATGCAGGTTCTCCTGGTTCAGATACAAGTTCTCTTGGTTCAGGTGCAGGTTCTCTTGGTCCAGATACAGGTTCTCGCAGGTCGGAACAGCAAATTTTCACCCCTTCAGAACAGCAGGTTCACCAGGTTAAGAACTGCAAGTTCTCCTGGTTCAGATCCAGGTTCTCCTGGTTCTCATGGTTCAGATGCAGGTTCTCTTGGTTCAGGTGCAGTTTTTTTGGTTCAGAACAGCAAGTTCTCCTCATTCAGATGCAGGTTCTCCTGGTCCACATACAGGTTCTCATGGTTCAGATGCAGGTTCTCTTGGTTCAGGTGCAGTTTTTTTGGTTCAGAACAGCAAGTTCTCCTCATTCAGATGCAGGTTCTCCTGGTTCAGGTGAGTGTTCTCCTGGTTCATGTGCAGGTTCTCCCGGTTCAGAACTGCAGGTTCTCCCGGTTCAGAAACAGGTTCTTCTGGTCTCGGATGCAGGTTCTCATGGTTCAGATACCGGTTCTCCTCGTTCAGATGCAGGTTCTCTTGGTACAGATGCAGGTTCTCCTGGTTAAGATGCAGGTTCTTCTGGTTCAGAACAGCAGGTTCTCCTTTCGTGCTCTGATCATTTGTGTGGTTTGTTCTCAGTAAAGGAACCTAAAGGCTAACGGTCTTCTTTCTCTCCGTGCCTCTCAGGTGGGGAACCACATTGACGTCCTGTCCAGGAAGTGGGTGGCGCAGGACGCGGGGATCGGCGCCGGCGTGGACTCCTACTTCGAGTACCTGGTGAAGGGCGCCATCCTGCTGCAGGACCAGGAGCTGCTCAGCATGTTCAGGGGTACGCTCTCGGGATGGCCCTGTCCAGGACCCTCCAGAGTCCGGTTCTCCTGCACCCTTTATTAACCCCTCCAGAGTCCGGTTCTCCTGCACCCTTTATGAACCCCTCCAGACTCCGGTTCTGCTGCACCCTTTATGAACCCCTGGTTCTGCTGGACCCTTTATGAACCTCTGGTTCTGCTGGACCCTTTATGAACCTCTGGTTCTGCTACACCCTTTATGAACCTCTGGTTCTGCTACACCCTTTATGAACCTCTAGTTCTGCTGGACCCTTTATGAACCCCTCTGTGTCCCCAGCCTACGACCGAGCCATTCAGAACTACACCCGCTTCGACGACTGGTACCTGTGGGTCCAGATGCACAAGGGAACCGTGTCCATGCCGGTGTTCCAGAGCCTGGAGGCCTTCTGGCCCGGTCTGCAGGTACCGGCAGGGGGCTGCTGGGCGGGGGGGAGGGGGGCGTGGCCTCAGCGGCGCCGCTGCTGACCTGTTCTCCGGGTTTCAGTCGCTGCTGGGGGACCTGGACCGGGCGGTCAGAACCTTCCAGAACTACTACTCAGTGTGGAGGCAGTTTGGGGGCCTGCCGGAGTTCTACAGCATCCCCCAGGGGTACACGGTGGATAAGAGGGAGGGGTACCCCCTCAGACCAGGTGGGTTCTGGGGTCATGTGACCCCCTCAGACCAGGTGGGTTCTGTGGTCATGTGACCCCCTCAGACCAGGTGGGTTCTGTAGTCATGTGACCCCTCAGACAAGGGGGGTTCTGTAGTCATGTGACCCCCTCAGACCAGGTGGGTTCTGTAGTCATGTGACCCCTCAGACCAGGTGGGTCTTGTGGTCATGTGACCCCTCAGACCAGGTGGGTTTTGTGGTCATGTGACCCCTCAGACCAGGTGGGTTCTGTGGTCATGTGACCCCTCAGACCAGGGGGGTTCTGTAGTCATGTGACCCCTCAGACCAGGTGGGTTCTGTAGTCATGTGACCCCTCAGACCAGGTGGGTTCTCTGGTCATGTGACCCCTCAGACCAGGTGGGTTCTGGCTTCCCTGTGTCTGAGGTCATGTGAGCCGCTTAGGTCCAGTGACCTCTGGTCATGTGACTCTGGTCCCGCCTCTGTTCCAGAGCTGATGGA